AAGGGCGAGGTAGGCGTCCGGGTCCAGGTATGTTGCAGCCTGACAGAGCTTTATAAGGGTACCTCCATTGAGAAAGGCGCTACGGAGCGCCTGCTCAAGGGCGCGCAAGTCCTTCCTGCCATGCGTATTAATCCTTCTTTAAACCTACTCGTCTTATTGATTTATCGTGCCAACTGCCTTTAAATAAACGTTCTCTCATGAATTCTAATGCTACAAGGAACGCCAAAAAGCATTTTCTTCATTGGCAGCCTTTGCGCTATATGACTAGCCAATTATAATTGTTCAACTCGAACTTCAGGGCAAAAGGAAATTCCGAGTTGATCGCTAGGGCGGAGCCAGAGAACGGCGTTGGGGAAATTGGGAATTTGCCGCTGAGGAATTTGCAGAACACGGCTCTACACGCAAAAGTTCCTCCTCTCCGCCCCTTCTCATCCCCCTCCTACCTACTATTCTCCTCAACTTTCTCAGCTTTCTCCACTTCTTCGGAGATTTTCCAGAAAATTTCTTCACTCCTGAAAAAACCGCCATTGAATGGGGAATGCGATCATCCCCACTCCTCTTCTCCCACTCGCTGGGGATCACCAACATACGACGTGCCTTGCCCAGGTACCATTTCCTTGCCTTCTCTCCTTGTCGCCTTTGAAGGAGTGGTAGACCCACGGCGATGGCAGAATGGCTCTCTACCTTTGCTTCGTCAACAGCGGAATGTGTCTTCAAAAGACGCGATATGAAAACTTAACTTTACTAGTAAACTCACATCTATCGTAAGTTCGGGTGTTTCGAATAATAGGCAAGGGGATGACAAAGCCTGTTGAACGGTCGAAACATCACGCATCACACATCGTCGTAACTCTTGGCATAGACCTTCCACTTGTGTCAGGTGCTCTACGATCTCCTGAACCAACTGAAAATTTGGCGTTATCCGTGTATGAAGGGCCATTTTGGCGCAGAATACCCAAGGTATTTGACACCACAACAAGTATTTTTTGATATAAATACTCCGGAAAAAGTAGTACTCTCCTAGTCTTATCGGATCTCGGTATGCTCCAAGGATCATCTACAGCACTATTTCTTTGCCTCCCCTAGCCCTACGCAAGAATTCTCATTCTCAGGGCTGGCGAGTGTTCCTTGCACTTGCCAGCCCTATCACCGTCTTACTCAAAAAAGTCGAGGAAAATTACATAGAAATGAAGCCGTAACATTTCTTTGCTTGAAAAGAATCCTTATGCAAAATTGGAATTACCGTAATCCGCACGAGCTATTGCACAAAAATGACCCACTAGACTCAAATAGAGTGGGAATCTCAACAAACCAACAATTTCCAAACAATTCAGCTTAGATCAGTATGGTCGTTAGAGTTACAATTCTTACCTGGTCTTGCATTCGATGCGGTGTAACAGCTTGATCCTCATCCGATCCACTGCTCATCTTTGCCTTCTTTGTAGGACCAATACGATCGCGATCGTTTTGAATAGCTGTAAACTCCATTTTTTCATATAGGACTCACGGCATTGGGAAATGGGAAAGAAACATTTTAATGCTTTAAAGGCTCCTAAACAGCAGCAGTTAATGGGAGGTTTTCATTCGTGATGGTTTTCAGCTTACTGTTAGCCTCCTTTTCGAGTTCGG